TGGGGGTCTGAGGTCACACATGGGCCTAGGTGTCCTGTCCTGCCCTCCATAGGCCGGTGGGACCCTCGTGGCCTCACATCCTCAACATCAACGTTCCCTGGGGGCTGGGTCTGCCAGAGACAGTGGGTGGGGGGGGGGCATGGAAGGACAATCAGCCAGTGAGCACAGGCCCAGAGAGCTGGGTGAGGGTGGGGTGGGGAGCGTCACTCCAACCCTGGGCCCCTGAGCCATACAGGCAGACAGATTGACACCCAGCAGGAGGGAAGATCACCCTGGGCACAAGCTGGGTGGTGGGAACAGGCCCCTCTGGCCAAAATCCAGAGCTGCAGTATCCCCTTGAACTTCCTCGGCCCCAAGGCCGGTGGCAGCTTCCCCTGAGCAAGGGGCTCTTAGTTGCAGGTGTAGGAGGCAGCCGGGTGCCTCGTGGGTGCAGCGATCCATCGTCCCTGGCGGTGGGGGTTTGCACCCAGGGAGCAGGCAGGCTGAGGTGGGGCTGGGGGAATGAGCTCCTCCGCTGTCCCCATTAACACACCCCCATCCTGGGTCCCAGGGCCACAGTTTCACTCTCTCCGCATTGCAGGGGGCTGCTCTCCAAGGTGCTGTGCCAACGACAGCTCCTGGCGGGCCACCTCCTTGCTGTCCATCCTGCAGAGAGCACGCCCATCCTGCCCCAGTGTGGATGCGGGGGTGGGGGCGGGAGGTGGGTGCCCTCAGGTCATGGGCACCTCTATTAAGAGCAGAGGGAGGTTTAGGGGCTCTTTAGAGGGAGAGGGCACAGGATTTGGGGCCAGGGGATGGGGGCCCCACGTGGCCACTGGTGTCAGCCGTCCTGGACTTTTGTTAGTAACGGCATCAACCTGGCGGGATCAAAGGAGATAAAGAAAATAGAGTGTTTGAAACATGCCTGACAGATCCCAGCTGCCGTGGCTTTTATTACTTTCTGTGTCTGGTCTTTTGAACTTTATAAAGCTTCCCCCTGTATGTGACCAGCAAACCGGTGAACACAGAAGTGTCTGGTCACTCCCTCCCCTGCTGGCAAGGAGGGCTGGAGCCCTCAGGCGGCTGGGAATGGGAGGAAGGGGGCCGGAGAGGCCAGAGTCTTGTGGCTTAAGAAAAAAGTCATGTACACAGGGAGGCAGGGTTAGGTATGGGGGTTGGGGGCAGCAAGGACCAGACCAGAGAGCTCAGGCAGGAATGTGGAGCCTGTAGAGAGGAATTTGGGGAGCAGCAGACATGGGGAAGGGAAGACAGGAAAACAGGTTTTTTTTTTGCTATGCATTATGAATGCCCTTCTTTGGCATTTTCTAGAAAGGTCTCTGGAAAGATGTAAATAACTTTCCAGCCATTGTAGATGCTAGACTAATGTTTTTTAAATGTGTCAAGACAGAGTCTCCACATGGTGCCTATTCTCCCCAAAAGAGCGGCACAGAAGCTCCCCACGGCGGGCCTGCTCGGGAGCCACCCGCTGTTTCAGGAGCCCTGTGGAGGGGGTGGTGGGGGCCATAGGGTGTTCTCTTCCGAACCGTCGTGCCCCCGAGACAAGTCCTAATGTGCCCACTCCTCTCCCTGATGAGACTCTGCTCCAAGCCCCCGCCTTCTCGGCTGGGATCCCGCAACAGCTTCCGACTTCTCGGTCCTCCTACCCGGTTCCTCGGAGCAGCCAGGGAGAGTCACGAGAGATGATGTCAGTCGTGTTGGTTCCTGCTCCCATTACGCCCACGCCTGCCACTGTCCACCTTAGTGACTCATCTGTCTTCACTGTCCCCTGATGCTGTGTCCCCCCCCACCACCCGGAGGTCTCTGCCTGCTTATGCAACACCCAGCCTCTCTCTGCGGCCCCAGGGCACAGGACTCGCTTGTTTCCTCGGCCTGCAATGCCCCACGGAGGCCTGTCATTTCGGGTCTAGCTCAAGGGTCACCTCCTCCAAGCTTCCCTTGGCCACCTAGTCACTCTCTGTCACGTCACCCTGCTTTGTTTTCTTCACGACACGTCCCATGATCTGGCCCACAGGATCGCGCGCCCAGACCTCAGGACCACGCCACACCTGCGGTGCCCTGGCTGCAGCTGCCGTCCCGGGGGCTGAGGAAGAATGAGGAGGGCCCCTGCTGGGAGGCGGTGCCAGTGGGCCCACAGCCACGCAGCGGGTGGCGGGCCCAAGGGAGTGGCTCCAGCTACTGGAGCTCGGGGACTTCACGGCAGGCTCCAGGGAGACGAAGACACACAGGCCGTGGTCTTCACCGACCAGCCGGGCAGCCACAACCTAGACTCCCGGTCACGTGGGCCCTTCCTATCTCTGAGGATCTTCACGGTCCAGAGAGCCTCGGGCCATGGCCAGATGGCTCATGTGAGTCATGTCACTCTCTCCAGAGCCACCACAGCCGGGGCACCTGACGGGTGGCATCACTTACTAGGGGGCGCTTACATCCTGCTAGGGATCCCAGATAGGGTGTGGACCCCCCAAGGCAGATGCCGCCCCCCCAGAAATGTCTTCTGTGTCTTGTAGGGTCTGTATCAGAGGCTGAAGGTGGGCTCAACGTGGGCAGGAGAGGCACCCAGGCCCAGGCTGGGGCAAAGCCTTGGCCCCGACCACAACTGCAGCTAATTCCAGCTGTCTGGGGCCCTCCACCCGCTACCGCTCCCCTGGTGACCTTGAGATTGGGACCCCAGATACCGCTGCCCACCGCCCTCCTCAACACCCACTCTGGGTTCCAAGCTTCCCCCCTCCCGCCGCCGCCCACTGGCATTTGATTCACCCATTCACTCATTCACTCACACAACAAACACGTATTGAGTGCCTACTGCATGCCAGGCACTGTTCCAGATAGACTACAGGGAGGAACTAGTCGAGACCAAGTGCAGAATTAAAAGAAGGGATCCCGAGGCCAGGCTGCCTGGCTGCCGGGATTCACATGCTGGCATTGCTACTTCCCAGCTGTGCCAACGTGAGCAAGTCGCACAGCCTCTCTGGGCCCCAGCTGCCCTCCCTCTAACACGGGGCTGAGAATATGTCTCCCCACGGGGCCGGGTGAGGACCCAATGCCTCGACACACGTTGGGAGAGCCCTGGGCACACAGCAAACATGCCGCGGGTTGGTGATAATTAGTCTGGCGCTCACTGCAGAAAATGAACTGTGAACACATGAGTAAAATGCCTGCAGATTGTGGTCGGCGCTTTGAAATAAATGAGCAGTGTGCCGCGGATGGGGCTCTATGGCGGGGAGTCAAGTGGGTCTCTCGGAAGAGGCGGCTTCTTTAGGGTCGCACACAGAGGATGCTTTCCAGGCGAATGGACCAGCAAGTGAGAGTCCCTGAGGCGGAACATGGCTTGGCGGGTGCCAGGAGCAGCAGAAGGCCCGAGGCGGGGGAAGGGTGGGTGACGAGGGGGACGGCATGACAAGGTCAGACAGGCCAGCGGGGCCGGTGAGCCCCAGAGAGAAGTCTGGCTTCCGTTCTGCTGCAGTGGGCAGCCACATGGGGGGGGGGGTTTGTTCTGTTTTGTTTTTGTAAGTTCTATCGCAGTGTATCTCACACCCACAGCAAAGTGTACCCATCATAAGCGTGCAAGATCACACGTTTTCACAAGGTGGACACACCTGGAGGGCCAGCACTGAGGCCAGAGCCAGAGCGTGAGCAGCACCCAGACTTCCCCGCAGGCCCCTTCCAGCCGCTGCCCCATGGTGACCGCCAGCCCTTGACGGGTGGATGGTGGACAGTAGTTGGGCCTGGGTTTCGAACTTCTGATAAATGGAATCATACAATGTGTGTTTCTGTGGCTGGCTTCTTTCCCTCACTCAACACCACAAGCGAAATTCCTCCACCTTGTCGCAAATGAGGGTAGTTTGGTGCCCCCTCCTCACCGAGCGGTACGCCACCGTAACTAGCGAGGCAGTGACTGACACCCGACTGCTGCTGGCACACGCAGTCCCTGTCTTTGGTGCACGTGGGCACCCTTTTCTGCTACTTAAAGCGTTTTGAACCTGAATTTGACAAGATCTCCCTTTACGCTCACTCCAGCTCCTGCATCAGCCTGGAGGGTAGATGGTGCAGGACCACGGCTGCCTCTGCACATGCGCCCCCCACCGGAGACCCTCATCCCTCTTCCCCACCCCAGATCCTCCAAAAGGCCTCCTCAGGTGCCCACCAAGCCTGCTCTCTGGTTACCGGGCCCACCGCAGGTGGCACCGTCCCCCGCACGGCCAAGCCCCTCCTAATGCGAGCCTGCCTCCCTCCTGCCAGACTGCACCGGCAGGGTGGGACCTGTCACCCTGTTCCCAGAAGATGGAAGATCGCCCACACCTGGCACTGTGCCTAGCATCCGGTGGGGGCGTCATAAATATCTCCTGAATGATTCATTCAGGCTTCGGGAGAGAAGGCACGACCCCTCGGAGATTCAGAGTGTGAGCTTTGAGGTCGCACAGATCCGGATTCAAGTCTTGCTTCTGGCCTTTGGCTCTGTGACCTTGGGAAGGTCATTTCGCCTATGAGCCTGTTTCCTCGTGTCAAAAATGGAGTGGCCCCGACCCCACTAGGTCGTTGAGCAGATGAAGTGGACAATGTTGGCCCACAGTAACAGCCTAACCACGGTGGGAGAGGGTAATTAGTGATCCACTGGGGAGGGGACACCTCCCGCTGCTCCGCCCGCTTTCTCGGCGGTTCCTGGGAGGTGCGCAGCATCGGGCTGTTTTACAGAAAAAGAAACCGAGGCCCCAAAAGGGACCAGGACCACCCGGGGGCGGCGGGCTGTGGCCAGACCCCGGGCCTGCCCTCAGTCCAGTGCTCAGGCTGCCTCTCGGGGCCGCTGGTGAGCACCTCCGCACCCTCGTCCCGCGACCTGGGATCGAGGGGCTGGCTCGGCTCGGGGAGACCCCCGGGCCTCCGAAGCGCGCTTGGAGATCTTCGGCTCAGACCCCAGAAGCGCGGCGCAGCTCCCGGGAGCAGAGAGAGCGCTCGGGGTTGTCACTTTAAATTAAAGAGGGAGCGGGCGGGCGGGCGGGCGAGCGAGCGCAGGGGAGCGCGCGGCGGGATCCTGGGAGCGTGCCCGGACTGCGGCGCAGCTCCGGTACGCCACTCCGGCCCGGCCGAGCCCCCTGCCCGCGTCCGGCTCCCGCGCCGGGCGACACTGCAGGGGTGGCGTTGGGGGCGACCGCCGGTCCTGGTGCTGGTGCCTGCGCGCTGCTGGAGGCCAGCCCGGAACCCGTAGCCGGGAGCCAGCGTCCACGCCGGAGCAGGAGCCGGAGAGCGAGCCAGAGCGGCGGCTCCTCCGTGGAGCCCGGGTGAGTACGCACCAGGCCGCCCGCCGCGCACGGAGCGCGAACGCACGCAGGGCCCCCTCCCCGCGCCACGGACCCCTGGGCTCAGCGTACTCCACGCGTCTGCACACCCGCGCTGTGTTTGCACACGCAAGCCCGGCACAGCGCACGCCGGGCGCCCTTCCCCGGTCCGGCCACTCCGCGCACTGCGCATCGCATCGCGTCCCGCACGCCCGCCCGCCCCGCGTGTGCACACGCACGGCTCCCCTGTCCATTTACACGCCTCCCTGGCGCCCGCGAGGCACGCACGCCCCTCACATTCATAGCACTCTGACCGCCCCCCCACCACCACCCCTGCCCCACTTCACACAGCTCTTCAGTCAGCTTCCCACACTCCTCTCCCCAGATACCCTAGGGGCCCCCGCGGCACGGGTGCGGGTCTTCAGGAAGTGCCCCAGTCCTGACAGGCACATCGCATCCTCGCCAGGAGGCCGGGGAGCCCGAGAAAGGATCCTCAGCCGCCCAATGTCAGCGGCCTGGGGGAGGGGGGCGGGGGGGGGGGCTTTCCAGGTGCCCCTCGGAACCTTCCACGCCGCTGCTCTTCGGGAGAGGGAACTTGCGCGTCTCAGAGCCTCCCTCGGGCTGAACACTTGGGCTCAAGATGGGGTGGGAGTGGGGCAGAACGTGACAGCCTGAAGCCCGTCCTGTGGGTGGAGGAGCCCTGAGCCAGAGAACCCCCGTGACCCCCTTGCCAGGGGGCAGCAGAGGCGCTGAAGAGGGACCCTCTCCGGTCCCTGAGGCCATCCCCTCCCCAAAGTGCCTGGGAAACCTGCGCCCTGGAATGTCAGTCCCTTCCCCCAGCCCGGGGCACGACAGGTTGGGAAAGAGAGCCGCTGTGGTGCTTCCTATTAGACATGGGGAAACTGAGGCCCAGGCCAGGCTGCGAACCACCTCACGAAACTCAGTCAGTCTGGAGAAGGGTCGAGGCAAGGACCCCAGCCCCCACCTCCCCCAGGCAGCTGGGGAAAGAGGGCCTCCCAGTCCGGGCTTCAGGCTCGGACTCTGCCTCTTGTCATCTCCAGTGGCTGCGGGCAGGTCACGCCCTGCCCCTCGGCTTTCCTACCCACATGACGGGCAGAGCAGCAGCCCCCGCAGAGGGCGGCAGGGAGGATTTGCTGAAATAACACTTGGCAAGTCCTAGCGGTGCCCGGTAAATGCCAGCCAGCCAGCCTGTGCTGCGGTCTCTGTGGGCTTTGCCAGGGTGGGGAGCAGGGTGCGGTTACCTCTGGAAGTGGGAGCACCTGAAAAAGCATTCCAAACCTCAGGATCCTAAAGAGTTTTTGCAGCCCGGGAGGTCGAGGGCTGCCCTGTCCCCACCCCAGTCTTTCCCATCACCTGCTAGCTTCAGGGCGAGGGCAGGGGGAGCAAACACCTGGCCGGCCAGAGACGTGATGGGAGACCTGAGGAGTGAGGCAGCGGGGTGGGAGGAGCAGAGCCGTGGGGCCCCGAGCCCCCTGCAGAGGCACAAATTCCTGGAAAGCCGTTTCTCGGACCAGCCCAGGAGGGGGCCTTCACTGTGGTCGGATTCTGCAAGGCCAGTGGGTGTGCTTCCCAGCCGTCTCCAGCCCTGAAACGCCTCCTGGGGAGGTGGCGTGGTGGCCGAGCACCCAGGCCCAGACCCGTCGCTCCTCGGCGCCACCCCCAGCGTTGTGCTGCTCAGCGTGTGAGTAGCTTCACTGGGACCCCTTTCACGTGGGGACCCATTTCTCTGTCCGATCGTCAGGTTATATTGTGGGCCTACTGTGGGCCAGGCATGGCGCTCAGCATTTAGTATCTATCATGCCTAATTCCTATAGCATTAGGGAGGCGTTGCCAGCTAGGTATGATTACACCTGGATTTGAAACTGGTGCCGTTTTGTTTTTAGTGAGCATGTTCCATGCAGGTGAGGGTTTGGCGCTTTGGGGCCCCACGGAATACATTGGAAGGGGGAGGGGGCCAGGAAGGAGAGAGACGTGGGTCTGAGGACCTCAGATGCAGGTTTGGGTCGGCTCTGGCTCTCCCCTCACCCCTGTTGAGCCCCATCCCCTCTGTGTCAGAAGCTGGGGGAAGCCCTGGCCACAGGCCGCCCTGGCCTCCAAGGTGCCTTGTCAGCATCCTGCTCTGAGCCAAAGCCGCAGCCCCTCCGCCTGGCGGGTCTCCAGGCCGCCTACGGGAGCCTGCTGGGGTTGCCCCAGTCGGTGAAACGGAGTCTGGGGGTCTCGGGCACAGGGAGTAGCACCTTAAGAAGGGCGCTCCAGACAGAGCCGGATCTGGCTGGCTCTGACTCTGCTCTCTGCTTACTGGTCGCGTGACCGTGGGCTAGCAAATTAACTGCCCTTCTGAGCCTCACTTCCCTCCTCTGTGGGGTGGGGACAATAATAGGATGTGGCCCATAGGGGTCTTGGGGGAGGTCAAGTCCTTGGCACCGGGGCTGTGGCTACCAACAGAAGAGGCACTCACCCGGCCTCGGGCAGGGCTGCCAGGCCCAGCGCCATCGCTGCTGACCGTGAGGCTTTGGGCCACTCGCTCGTCCTTTCTGAACCTCCTCCAGCTCCTCTGAAGGCCTGCCTACCCGGCTCAGGAACGAGAGGCTTCCGGGGGCCGCCAGGTTCCCGCAGTGAACGGAGGGGCGTGACGTGCAGGCCACGGAGGGGGTGCCCCCTCTGCGGGGGCAGAGCCCACCCAGCTCCAGCTCGGGCTATTTCGGGGGGCCAGGGGAGATACAGGGCCGCTCTCCACGCATCTTCTCACTTTTAAAGGGAAGCCAGAAATTCATCCTTTTTTTTTTTTAAAAAAATCCATTTTAATGGGAAATTTACCAGTTTTTAAATGTTGGCAACTCACTTTCATTTGAGACAAATAATACAGATCTACAGACCAGCCATGCCGCCCACGCGATTCTGCAGCTCCAGTGAGGGGCACGGGGGCCTTTCGGACAAATTGCCAGGGCAAGACCACCGCAGCTCCTGTCCACCAAGCCCCACCGCGTTTACTTCCCGTTCCACCCTCCTGGCACCCTGATAGGGCGGTCAGGAGCCCCCTTTTACGGAGGGACAACCGAGGCTCAGGGCTAGTGAGGGGCAGGTCTCCTCCCCCCTCCCTCGCAGGCAGAGGTGCCTGCAGAGAGCACCACTGGGGAAACTTCTGGCTCACACCTCCCCAGAAGTCCCAGCTCCCGGGGAGGGGGGAGGGGTGGTGAAGGGAGGGAGGAGAATGGTGGGCAGTGGGAGGAGCCTGGGGTCTGAGCTGGATCAGCCTTGGAGGGGTGGGGGCCCCCCCAGACAGCCAGAGGTCCCATCAGCAGGTCCTGTCCCTGGGCACGTGTACATGCCACAGGAGCACCCCCGTCCCACGCTGCTGGCATTGGCCACGCCAGTGCGGCCCCGCTCACTAAGTCGGCTCGTGCCAAGTGAGCGGGAAAGGGAGCCGCTGGCGTGATCGGGTTCCCAGCAGGGCAGAGGCAGGCTGGGACGCGAGTGCTCACTGTAACACGTGTGTTTCGGAATGTCCAAACTCCTGCCAGGAACCCAGGCCACCTGGCACACAGAGCTGTATTTGTCCTGCGAGTCCTCGGGGAACTTTTGAAATCACGTGCTCGCCTACACGTCGGGCACGGGGCAGGAGCGTGGAGCCAGACGGCCTGTGTTGAACTTAGCCGTGTGGCCTGGGGCGGATGACCTTACCTTCATGCCTCAGGACTCCCCTCTGCAAACCAGAGACAATGACGGTACCTACCTGTGGGGTTGCCCGAGGATTCAAGGAGGAAATACACACGCCCAGTGCTTAGGGCTGCGCTTGGGTGGGTAGGGAGTGCCTGGCGGGGCTAGCCCTCATCATCACGACCTCCAGCCCAGGTCCCAGGAATGAGCTTCCACTTTGAGAGCGCACTGCCCTCCCATCACCATGACAACCAGCATCTCAGGGGGTGGGGGCATCAGCAGGGGGGCCGGGGAGCGAGGAGACGGCTTGTGTACCTGGCTGGGCTTCTCCCGGGGCCCTGCCCTGCCCTGCCTCCCGAGGCCTCCTGCCGGGGCGCTCGAGGCGCTCCGCGTGTCCTGGGCAGCCCTGCCTGGAGCAAGCCACCTCGGCTGCTTGGCTCCGAAGCCACAGACTGCGGACAACCCCAGGATCCTGGACGTTGCCCAGGAAAGTGTTCCCCCTCTGATTGGACCCCAGTCCCAAAGGGAGTCCACAGAATGCTTCAAAGAGTTGCAAACAGGCCAGGCACAGTCAAGCAGTTTTGTTTTGTTTTTTTATTTGCACGGTGCCTGAATAGTGTCTTCGTTTTTTGGTGAATTGGTGCAACATTTAAAAATCCAGCAACTGCACATAAACTATCCAGGCTTTTCTTTAAAGAGCCAGAAGGTCCGGCAATGCCAGGTCGGCATTCTCAGGAACAGAAAAGCGCTGCCCTTGAGCTGGCAGGCCCCTGCTGTTCTCGCCGCATCCCCCCCTCCCCCCCACCCCCTGCCCCACCACCCCACGCCCGTGCACCTTTATCCCTCCTCACCTGTCTCTGACTACCTCTCTGAGCTATGCGGGAACACAGAGTTTAGGGTGGGGGTACCCTGTCCTTCCGTGTCCCTTGGACTGAGACCCATCCAGCTCATCCCCGCCCGCCCCCCCTTCTCACACCCGCCCCCGTTTAGAATATGTCTGTCAGCCAAGTTCACTTCTTAGCAACAACGATAATAAAACTTCGAGCAGCCCCAGGGTTCGGGTGATGGCTTGTCTGAGCTTCCAGGCTTTGGAGGGTGGAGCGTGGGGTGCAGAGTGAAAGGGGAGAGAATAGAATATTGCAGAAATGCAGCCTTTGCTTTTCAAATGTAAACAAAAGCTTTTGAAGGGCAGTCATGCGTCACTTAACGATGGGAAGTTCATCGTTAGGCAATTTCCTCCTTGTTGTCTGAACAGGACAAACCTTGATTGTCTAGCCCACTGCACACCTAGGCTGGGTGGTCCGGCCTATTACTCCTTGACCATGAACCTGTACTGCATGTCACTGGCCTGAACACTGGAGCCAATTATAATGCATTGTATTATGACGTCACAACGGCTAAGAAGTCACTAGGTGATGGGAACTTTCAGCTCCATTATAAACTTTTGGGACCACTGTCGTACACACGGCCCGTGGCCCTGCCTAGTGAGCCCCCCAGGGGCCTTGCACTGACCAGTACCCAGAAGTCAGTGCTGGTCTGCCCGGCGCCGGTGGGACCAGAGCGAGGGCAGGATGCCCGAGGGCGCACATACAAACACAGGGTAGCCGGCAACTTTCACATTGCAAATAAGCAACAAATACATTTTTAGTGTACGTATACTCCAACATTTGGACGTATTTATACAAAAAGCAAATCCGAAATTCAAATGTCACTGGGCATCCTGGGCGTTTGTTATCCAGCGACCCGGAGGTGATGTCTTTGAGGGCATAAAGAAAGCTTTAGGCACCATTCTCTAAAAACGCTACTTCGAAAAGTACGCACTTTGGCCCAGGCCTCACGCGCAGCTGGGCGTGAGCTCTGGAGGGCAGGCACCCGGGCATGGAGGGCCGGGGCGCAGGGCCGGGGCTGGGGGCCCTCTGAAGCCCTCCCCTCCAACTCGCTCTCCCCTTCTGGTTGCAGCCGCCGCCGCAGCGGGCACCATGGCCGTGGACGTGGCAGAGCGCCGCCTGAGCGGTGAGTCTGAGCAGCCAGCGTGCAGCGCACAGGGCCCGCCCAGCAGGCCTCGGGGGCGGGGATCAGGGGGACACCAGTCACGGTTCTGCTGTGCTGGCAAGGACGGGCAGTGACTTGCCCAAGGTCACGTAGCCTTGGGGACACGGGGCTGGGACCAGTTCGAAATCTCCTCATCTCTCTGCTCCTGTGGCTGCTTTTGTGGGAGTGCTCCCTCCATTTGACTTGAGGGGGTCCCCCAGGAGGCCCGTGTCCCACTGCTCTCTAAGGTTGAGCCTGTGACACGGAATCCACTCACCAGGGCCATCTCTGGAGCCTCTCAAGCAGCCAAGTGAGAGGGAGCCTGGAAGGTTGATACTGGGTCCACAGAGCATGAAAGTCAGAGACAGCCCAGACCAGGGGCTGCCAGTACCCGGGACGCAGCTCCCGCCCACCCTGTGTGCCCCGGCCGGCGCCGAGCTGGGGGGTAGCATCACGTGACATCAGACACACATCTCACAATCTTGTCTCCTTCTGTCTCTGTCCCCATTTACAGATGGAAAAAGGGAGGCTCAGGGAAGGAAAGGGACAGTGCGTGCAGGGTCAGGACGTGAACCCAGGTCTCCGGGCTGTCGGTCTGGCTCGAGTCCTAGCACAGCCCCCACCCAGCCCACGGCTGAGCGGAGGGGTGCCCCAGGGACCACCCTTCCCAACCCCCAGCCAGGGGTTCTCACCTGCAGCCTCCCAAGTCTAGGCCCAAGCCCTGGCATGCCCTTGAGCAAGCGATGAAACCTTTCTGAGCCTCCATGTACCTGTCTATAAAATGGGGCAGTGGGGCTGCCTCGGGGACTGCTGGGAAGATGCAGTGAGCTAGCCTACGTGAAGCGCCCCACACAGCAGAAGCATGCCCCCCCCAACTCCAGGCCCCTGCGCCCACTGTCCCCTTTGCCGGAGCGCGTCCCCGCCTCCACCTGGCTGGGTCCTCGGCCCTGCTGTGGGGGTTACGCGCCCAGACCTGGAGCAGGGTCGGCAGCGAGTATCTGCGTCGTCCCTCAGCTTCCTCATCTGTAAAAGAGGGATAATAATAGAACCTTCCTCCCCCGGTTGTTCTGAGGACTCAGTGGGCTCATACACGTGAAGTGCTTGGAACAGAACCTGGCAAATAGTAAAGAGAAAGAACCTGTTCTGACGCCAGCTCCTCCGCCTCCCCCTCATCTCCAGCCTCAGCCTAGACCTCACTTCCCGGGAGAGTTCTGCCGGAGCTGCCCTAAGGCTGGTCCGTCTAGACATGAATATGTGAAGGAGTATCCATCGTCGGCATTTCCTGTCACCTTCCTGAGGCTTTTCCCTTCTTGCCCTCGGCCCTACGCCCCTTTTTTTGTCCACCGGGGCTCTGGCTGGAGACCCTCACTTCCCCGGGACCCTCACTCTCAAAGGAGTCTAGTTCTGCTTTGCCACCTTGCTGTGCACGCCCCCTGCGACACCCAGGCCCCGCTGTGCAGGTCTCAGCAGGAGTCCCCCCACTCACCCCCCTCACTCTCCAGGGAGGCGGGTGCGTTCCTGTCCCACCCCCCAGTCCCCAGACTCCCGAGACTTTGCCAGCCGGCCTCATCAGGGCTGGCCCTGGGGCCCTCGGGAGATCTTCGCTGTGGTTTTATTTAGACCACAAATTGCATTCCAGCAACCCAAGTCAGCAGTAAACAGCGTTGCGCCCGGTCCCCGCATCCTAATCTCTTGCTCCTCTCCATCCTCCCTGGCCCTCCATTGGTCCTTGTCCATTGGCTGTGTGATTTTCACATCAAATTGCGTGGTTGTACCATGTCGGGAATTGATTTTTTTTTTCTGTAAACATTACCCGAAATGTTTCTCTGCACTGCCACGGTGACATCCTAATAATAACCTCGACAGCCATTCTCAAAGGCCAGTGACATTCCGTCCTCTGGCAGCACCAGGGCCCCCGGGGTCAGACCTCCAGGCTGTGTCCGGATTTCTGTCATCACAGGAGCCCAGCCTCAAGGGCCCGGAGCAGACAGAAAACTCGCTGGGATTTTTCCCCCAGAGTAACCTCGCCGGGTGGAGCCTCGGGGTGGGGATGTCTCGCGATCATCTCCTTTTTCGAATGGGGAGGCTGGGCCCAGGGGGGCTCGGTGGGCTGAACTCTTCACCCCTGGGGCCTTGAGCCCATAGATAGACGCGTTCTTCCCCTCTCCCAGCCTCAGCGGCCCCTGGAAAGTGGAGATAGGGACCTCACGGGGTTCAGACGGCTGGGCAAGCGCCGTGGGAGCGCGTTAGTATCCATCCGGCTGAAACTGGCGGGGCCCGGGACAGCCAGAGCAGAGCTGGGGTCCGGGCGGGCCGAGGCCCCCCGCCGCCAGAGGGTCTGCAGCTGCGGCTGCTGCGTGGTTCCTCTTGATGTGGGGGCTCTGGGGAGCAGAGGCGAGGCGCCCTCCGGCCCCAGTGCCCCACTCCCGCCCTCCAGCTGGGCACTCCGAGTGCTCTAGGCTCTGTACACCCCCTCTCCTTCCGGCCCTACACCCCCGGTCCCTGGTGCCTTGGCCGGGCACACTTCTTGCGCCCCCTCCGTATCTCAGCTTACCTGTCCCTCTCAGAAGGGACATCCTCCTCCAGCTCCAGGAAGCCCTCCTGGGCTCCCCCCATCGCTCTGTGTTGTCTCTTTGCCCACCCCGCACCCTCGACTGCACGCTGGGCCTGCCTGGGGCGACTCTCTCCACAAGGCACTCACACACAGCAGGTGCTCACACACAGTAGGTGCTCAGTGGATGTGCCGTGATAAAATCCACCCCCCGAAACGCCCTTCCCACCTGTCTTTGCCGCCAGGGAACTGTGCTGGGTAGAGGCCCGGTGGGGCAGTGGTTAGCGCTGCTTGCTCTGGAGTCCGGCTGTCGGGGTTGGGCTCCCAGTCCCACCCCTCCCTGGGGCCGTGACCTTGGGCACAAGGTCTTTGTGAGCCTCAGTTTCCCCATTGGAACTGAGCCCAGAGGCAACACTGAGATTGGTTAAGAGAACTGCATTTGCTAGCAGCATGACCTTCTGCAGAATGAATCCCACGACCTCACCGGCTGCTTGCGGGGACCGAAAAGCCAGGCTTCCTTTGAACTTGTGTGGTGACGCTCGGCCGAGGGCTGGGCGAGGACTCCCCCAGCAGGGCTAAGGAGGCAGTTAAGGGCTGTGTTCAGGGTCAGTAAGGCTCAGATAAGGAAAGCGATTTACTTATCAGTGGGCGAACAGCATCCGAGCATCTGGATTTTCCCCCAAGCCCTCCACAGCCTGCAAACACATCACTGCTGGCTGAGATGTCTTTTTTTGGGGGGTGGGGGGTCATAACACCTTGATTGAGATAAAATTCACATACCGTGAATTTATTCACTTAAAGTGTATAACTCATTGGGCGTTAGTGTATTGAACAGCCATCAGCACAGTCAATTTTTGGAGTACATTCATCATTCCCCAAATAAACCCCCTATTCCACATTTCTCCCTGCTCCCCCCTCCCCAGCCACGGTTCATTGCTAATCTACTTTGTGTCTGCGTAGATTTGCCTCTCTTGGACATATAAATAGAATCATACGACGTGTGTGTCCGGCTTCTTTCACTTAGCAAGATGTTTTCTAGGCTCATCCATGTTGTAATATATACCAGTACTTCATTCCTTTTTATTGCTGAATAATTTCATTATGTGGACATGCTACATTTTATTTGTCCATTCAGCAATCGATGGACACTGGGTTGTCCTAGACGAGGTTTGAGGGGAAAATGGGATCCTTTTTTTGTCCCCCGAGTCCACTTCCCCTGTCCCCAGACCCCGAAAGGCTGCTTTGATTATCTGGCAGCGAAAGGTCCCCCGAAGGGTGAGGTCCAAGACCTCGAAGAGGCAAGAACAACCCTATTTGTTTAAAGCCTAATGAATATTTCACCGCCGTTCACAGCTCTTCATCTGTTCTCGTCAAGCGCCAATCATGGGAGAGCGGTCTGCTTCTGTGGGGAGGAAAACAAAGCAGAAATCACAGGGACTGTTTTCTTGTGCAGCCCCGGACCCCCGGTGCCTAGCACCCAGCCTACCGCATGGAGGGCACTCGGTAGACATTCATTCAATGAATAAGCCAGTCCGTGCCAAGCCACCTGCTCCGTGGGCGGGGGGGGGGGGGGGTCTGCACCCACTGAGGGGCCCGGGGCCCTCTAACGAGAAGCTGCTTTTGCCTTGTAGTCATCAAGAGCCCCCCTGACTGGGAGGTGGGCGTCTACGCTGCGGGGGCCCTGGCGCTGCTGGGAATCGCAGCCGTGAGCCTGTGGAAGCTCTGGACCTCGGGCAGCTTCCCCAGCCCCTCGCCCTTCCCCAACTACGACTACAGGTACCTGCAGCAGAAATACGGCGAGAGCTACGCGGAGGCCAAGCAGAAGGTGAGGCTCCCGCGCCCGTGGGTGCACACGGAGGTGGGGGCCCCCGCGCCCCTGCCGTCCACTCGCAGGGTGAACCTCTGTGCCCTCCCCAGCCCGCTCCCTCCCAATTGGTTTCCGCCGGTGACCCACCGGGGGCCCTGGTCCTCCTTCCTGCCCCCAACCCAGCCCAGTGCGCGCTTGCCCCATGAGTCCGTGAGCCCTTGAGTGAAAGAATGAATGCATGGTTTCCATGTTAAAGACCGTCCTGTAAAAAATATGGGAAAATGTAAATAAGAAGAAGAGCTTCTCTAAAAATGCCCCTACCCTGACACAAGCCATAGCTAACTGTTTTTTACCCATTAACGTGTTGATTTATTGCTTTCCACTATTTTTTTAAAGATTGTATTTATTTATTTTTAGAGGGGGAAGGGAGGGAGAAAGAGAGAGAGAGAGAAACATCAATGTGCGGTTGCTGGGGGTCATGGCCTGCAACCCAGGCATGTGCCCTGACTGGGAATCGAACCCACGACACTTTGGTGTGCAGCCCACGCGAAATCCACTGAGCTACGCCAGCCAGGGCCCTAAGTCAGGATTTTAAGAAAGCTACTCAGTGTGCATTATTTCTACTTGTGTGGGGGAGAAAAAGAAGCAACATAAATGTTCAATAGCCGGGAAATTCTAAACTAAATGATGGTTACCCACCCAGTGGGAAACTGGGGAGAGGATGGAAAACGACGGGAATGAAGACTGTGTAGGGACGCAGGAGAGGCGGGTGGGCCGGAGGCTTCTGGTTGCTCAGATCCTCAGGCCGGCTTAGACAAAAGAAACACCGACTGGGAGGGGGGTGCTGCCCAACGTGCAAGAGTTCCCGTGTCGCAGGCATTTCGGGAAACCTCCCTTGAGGCTGCTCGACCATCTGTGGAGTAGCTCTGCTCCGGTGTTCTCACCCATCCCCCTTCTGCCGGACACCTGCACCGCTCCCTGCCTGTCCTCTTCATACACATCACTGCCGAGAACACCTCCAGGGAGGGGAGCTCAGTCCGCTCCCCTCAATAACCATTCCGAGAAAATGCCCTCTCACGTCCCGGCGAGAGGGGGAAAACTGAGTGACGTGCCACAACCTTGAACAAGCACGTTCTGACTTAGACAGGCCCCGCTTTTGCAAAAGGGGGACTTGGAGGTGCCCTGAGGGAGCAGGGATTCCCGTGCCTCTTTGCCATCTCCACACGGCCGCCCTCGCGATGCTCCCGCGTCCCCTTTTCTCACCCCAGAGGGCGCCCACCTGGAATGCCCAGCGGGCCAGCGCTCGGGGACCGCCCAGTCGCAAGGGCAGCCTCAGCATGGAGGACACCTTTGAGAGCATCAGCGAGCTGGGGCCGCTGGAGCTGATGGGCCGTGAGCTGGACCTGGCGCCCTACGGGACCCTCCGGAAGTCCCAGTCGGCCGACTCCCTCAACTCCATCTCCTCCGTGAGCAACACCTTCGGGCAGGACTTCACGCTGGGCCAGGTGGAGGTGAGCATGGACTACGACGCCGCCTCCCACACCCTCCACGTGGCCGTGCTGCAGGGCAAGGACCTGCTGGAGCGGGAGGAAGCCAGCTTCGAGTCCTGCTTCATGCGCGTCAGCCTGCTGCCGGACGAGCAGATCGTGGGCATTTCCCGGGTGAGTGGGGGTTGCAGGGCGGGGCACAGAGGTGTGTTCTGGCCCTCGGGGGTCTCCCCCGGCCGGGCAGGGCCTGAGGGGGGCGCCGGGGAGCGGGTCTGGATGAGGGTTCCAGAGCCCGAGGTGCTGACCAGACCGGGCACAGAACGGGAGTGCGGGGCCTCCACCTGCCGGCGTCCACTCTGCACGACTCTTAGCACTCCTGCCACACGAATCCGGCGTGTGGTGCCTGTCCGTTTCCACGCCTGTCCCCTGGGTCAACCTGGGGCCCTGGCAGGGAAGGGATGACACATTCAAGTTGGCTCACTTGGGGACAACTTAATAACAGGACTGATACAAACGATGATAGTGGCGTGTGGGGCACCGCAAGGGGGGCGTGGCGCCCTGGTCTGAAAGGGTGAGGGGCGGGGGAGGACGCCAGACCCGAGGATGGGGGAGCTGTAGAGACGGCCACCTTGATAGGCACTGTGCCCTTTGGACAAGGGACGCAGCCAGCCCACAGCAGGACCACAGAGGATCTGGGGGGAATAAGTGCTCCCAGCCTCCCTCCGACTTCTGGTGTCCCTCCAGTGACCCTCACTGGCTGACCCTCCCAGAAGCCAGAGGCCAAGGGAGCCTGCTGATGTAGCCCACGGAGGTCAGCTCCTGGAGCGGAAAGCAGGGTGGGGGTAAACCAGGAGGGGCAAGGAGAAAGGCCCAGCATCCCCTGCCCCCACCCAGGGTCCCTCCACCTTTGCCAGAGGGAGCAGAGTCTACATGAGACGCATCCCCCTGCCCAGCTCCGGCAGCCGGCAGCTCCGGGCTGGACGGAGGGGTCTGGATGCCATGGCCAGGCATCCTCTGAGGTGGTCATGGCCAACACACCATGGCTTCTGACCGGAGCAGGAGGAGCCCGAGGACCTGCAGGACCAAGTACCGTCTGACTCCTTGGAGACCCACCTGTGTCTGGACCCCTTTCCCATGCCAAAAACCAGCTGCTCCCCAGTGGTGGAGACTGTTGGCCCTCCCCTGCCCCACCCTGCCCCCCTCATTCTAGAAGGGGCTAGAACTGACTGCCGGCCATGTGCATGCGGGTCCCAAGATGGGGCAGCCAGCCTCTGAGAGGCAGTTCAGTGAGGGGTTAGGAGCAGGACGCTGCAGACTAACTACCCCGGTTCAAATCCTGGTTCCCTATTCCCTAGACCTTGGACATGTCACTTACGTTCTCTGTCATTCAGTGTCTGCACCTGTCAACTGGGCATTGTAATTCTTTTTTTTTAAGATTTTATTTATTTATTTTTAGAGAGGGAAGAGAGGGAGACAGAGAGAGAGAGAAGCATCAATGTGCGGTTGCTGGGGGCCATGGCCTGCAACCCAGGCATGTGCCCTGACTGGGAATTGAACCTGTGACACTTTGGTTCGCAGCCCATGCTCAATCCACTGAGCTCTGCCAGCCAGGGCTGGGCATCGTAATTCTTGAAGAGGGGATGCGTTCATAAGGGCAAACGCCTTAGCCCAGTCCTAGGCGAGCACTCAGCGGATCACCTACCGGGACCACGAAGTGTTCCCGTTGAGCCCGATCCGTGCTGCCTGTGGCCAGGGCTGCCTGGAGGACCCCGAGCGCTTCTGCACACAACCCTTGATGGGGGACAGTGGCAGACACAGCCACCACAGTCTGCTCGTGCTGAGAACCCGGTTCTCGGGGCCCAGCACACCCACAATTCTCTCACTACCCTAATGAGGTGGACCGAGAGCACCTTACAGATGAGGAAACTGAGGCTCAGAGAAGTGCTTTGCCCAAGACTACCCCAGCGAGTGAGCAGTAGACCTGGGGCTTGGTCCCGGGATGCCCACCCTCCGCCCACGTGCTCATAAAGCACAACGCACAGAGAATGGGTGGTCGGGGAGCCTGGGCCCCTGTGGGCAGGGGGCAGCCAAGAGGCTAGCTTGGCAGAAGGGAGGAGAGGGGGAACCGAAGATCATGAAGAGCCTGAATGCCGAGGTCAGGACGGAGAGGTGGGCTTTCTGCCGTGGGGGAAGGAGCCCCCGATTCTCCAGGCAGGCGACAGGGGCGGGGGACGGAGCTCCCAGGGAGCAGTGCAAGAGGACCCTGCCCAGAGCCCAGGCGGTCAGCGTGTGGCTCAGGGAACCTGTGGGGGTGCTGGTGCACTTCTCCCCAAGAAGGCAGGCTTCTCACACTACAGCCCAGCCAATTCCAGCGAGTGGGTAGCTGCCCCCAGGCTGGGCAGCACCCCCAGCTTCAGGCGAGGTGCCAGGAACGAGAGCTCCTCTCTTTAAATGTCGCCAGGCAGTGACTAAGGCAGCCCCCCCTCCCGGAAGGGGAGCCATGCCCGCAAGTGCACCTTCCCCGGGGCCCGCCCACGGCTTCCTGGGAGGAGGCCAGAGGCACCCACCAGGCAGGACTGGGCTTGGAAACGGAGTCCGCGCAGCCTTGCCTAGTCATCCCGTCCGTCTGTCCATCCCACAGTGTTCAGACAGTCCTGGGCCAGGCTCTGTCGGGGCTGGGACATCGGTGACTCTCGACCCCACAGACAATTATCCATACCCACTGCACGCCTGGCCCGGGCCTGGACTTGAACCTGTGCAAGAAAGACGGAGACCAGCTCAGCTGGTGCATCGTGAGGGTTCTGTGGACCTGGGGCCACTGAGGACGGGACTTCGTCGGGGTCAGATTATGGAAGCTTCGAATGCCAGGCCACTGGATCGGCCGTTAGTGAGGGGAGAGCAGAGGGGGCCGAGCCACCAAAAGAAGGGTTGGCATTGGGTCGTGGGGTCAGCAGCCAGGACCCCGGCCCAAGTCCCAGACTCTCCACCCAGGGCTCTCCCTGCCACCCCCTCTACCCCCCACCCCAGCTTTGAAGCGCCCTCTGGCCCGTTCTCCCTGCAGATCCAGAGGAACGCCTACTCTATCTTCTTCGACGAGAAGTTCTCCATCCCCCTGGACCCCGCGGCCCTGGAGGAGAAGAGCCTGCGGTTTTCTGTCTTCGGCATCGATGAGGACGAGCGGAACGTCAGCACGGGAGTGGTGGAGCTGAAGCTCTCTGTGCTGGACCTTCCCACTGCAGCCCTTCAGTGGCTGGCTGTACCTGCAGGACCAGAACAAGGTAAGCCTGCCCACCTGTGCACCCGTGCAGAGAGTATCACACACACACACACACACACACACACACACACACGCACGTCAGAGGAGGGACTCCGCTGTCCCCCGTAGCACCCTGAGCACCGACACCCTTAGGAGCGTAGAGAAAGAGACCAGAGCTGCACGCAGGGAGACTCAGTTTTCTGCGTGCGGATGAGAGACGCCGCGACCACTGCCTGCGGCTCTCCTGCTGCTCATGCCTCCAAGCTCCGCGAGAGCTCCTATTAGGGGCACTTCTGGCCCCGAAGAGAGTTGTTGCAGACACGGGCCCGGCTGAAGTTTACCTTTATGCATGGGAGCGTGCTTGGGGAGCCTTACTGCCATTTAAGCACATGGTCTACTGACCCCAGGCCACTTGGACCTCCATGCCCTGCTCCCACAGAGTGGTTTCCTCGGCTTAGGACGAGGCGGTGTAACTGCGCTTGGATGCTGCGTTTGACAGGCAGCCTCTGGCCCTCCTTCCCAGGCACGACCCACCCCGGGGGAGGACGGGCTGGTGCATGCTTCACGGAGTGGGGATGGGGGCCCCTTTCTCGATCCCCCCAGCCTGGAGCCCTGGTGTGCGGGGCCTCGAGCACGGCAGCTTCCCAGTGGAGAAGGCAGCCCCTGCCTTTGCCTGGACCTGTGAGGGGACAGAAGCCCTCTGAGCCACCCGCCTGCCTGCCCCCCAGGCCGCCGACGCTGTGGGGGAGATCCTGCTGTCTCTCAGCTACCTCCCCACGGCCGAGCGTCTCACCGTGGTCGTGGTGAAGGCCAAGAATCTGATCTGGACCAACGACAAGAGCACTGCGGGTAAGGCCCGGCTGGCTGGCTGCCTGGCTCCTCCACGGGGCTGGCGGGGGCTGTGGCCCAAGTGCTGAGCCCCAGGCACCTGGACACATCAGGAGGGACGGGGCTCCCCACCCCCCAGCTCTGGCTGAGCTCAGGAGCTGTGCACCGTGCACCGTGGGAAGATGCATCTAGCTGGAGAACGTGGGAACCGGAGAGGGAGGCAGGGAGCCCCTGCGGGGGAAGGGGTGGGACTCTGAGACTGGGAGGCCTGGGGCTCTGGGAAGGCCCCAAGGTGGGCACCCACTGCCCAGAACTGGGATTCGTGGTGGAGGTTCCGTCCCCAGAGACTGGCCTGCGTTCCAGATCCCAAACGGGGGCAAGGGCCGCCGGGACGGTGTGGGCACCAAGCAGGGCCCGATGCCCCGGGTCTGCAGGAGCCTCCAGCCCCCGGTAACTGGAGACAGAGGACCAGGGGTGGGGGGAGCCCAACGCCCTGGGGCCTAGGGGGACCTGGGGGGACCTGGGGTCCAGGCAGGCGCAGTAAGGACGCCCAGAGGGCGGTAGGTGAGGAGCAGACAGAGACGTGCTATTTCGGAGCCGCACGCCACCGAGTCAAACCCTGCCGAGTGGGTGCGGCTGACTCAGAGCTGACGTCTGCGTGCGGGCCATTTATAGAATGGAAAGTGGCGGGTCTTCCACCTTCCCCGAGTGTCGAGTGTCGTGTGAGGGGAGCGTGCGCCCGGGCCGGAAGGGTGCACTGCGGGCGCCCGAGGCCCCGCTGTCCTCCTGACTGGCGTGTGAGCCTCGGTTTTCTCACCCATCAGATAGGAGAGAAGTCAAGGACCCGTGGCGGGGCTGTGGGAGGTCAAGGCAATAGGGAAGGCTTGGGGGGAGGGGGGTAGAGCCAGCCAGCGCGCCTCCGGGGCGGGCAGGCTGTGCCAAGTGAGTGCAGCAGTGGCCCTCACCTCCACCCCCACCCCCACCCCCGCCCACCCAGACCCCCTACGTCAAGGTGTACCTGCTGCAGGATGGGAGGAAGATGAGCAAAAAGAAGACAGCCGTGAAGAGGGACGACCCCAACCCAGTGTTCAACGAAGCCATGATCTTCTCGGTGCCGGCCATCGTGCTCCAGGTGAGGCGGACACGGCACAGGGGCAGGGCCAGGCCGGGTCAGCCCCAAGCTGCGGGGCCTCCTTCTTCGTCGTCCCCTGCAGCCTCGCTTTTCAGGGCTCCTGCAGGTGCTGAATGTTTGCCTCAAGCCCTATAGTCAAGAAGCATTTATGAAGCACCCACTAGATACTAGCCCCATAGAGGGTGCTGGGAACATGGGCACTGCTTCCTCGCTGCTTACAAGGGACAGGCAGGGAGGTCTCCTTGTCTCCGGCAATCCTGATCCACAGAGAGCACGCCAGACCTGGGCGGCCAGGGCGGCTTCCGCAGGAGGGCTTAGCTAAGCTGAACTCGGGGGGAGGCCAGTCCCAGGGCAGGGAACGGCAGAGACCTGGAGATGAGCCAGGCACCGAGATCCACCCTAAATCTCCTGAGGTTCTACCTGCAGAGCTCCTGCTGAGCTCCCCTCACCCCCGTGGCCTTCAGGAGGTGGCCCCCTCCCAGCACAGCTATCACAGACCGAGGATGAGGGGACTGCTGAGGATAGGGCCTGGGCCCCACCAGTGGCCCTTCTTGCATGCCTCAGAGGATGGGGAACTCACCACCTTCCCTCACTACCACCTTCCATGCTGGGGCATTCCTGACAATGAGAAAGTTCTTCATGTGCTTTGAGCCAAAAGCTGCCTCTTAGCCCTGGGGCTGCACAGAAGCCCACTTAATCTCCCCCGCAGGACACCCTGTCTCAGCTTCAAAGCCCGGAGTTCTGCCTCTGTCTGGATGTTCCTAATCCAGGCCAACATCCCAGCACCTCTGGTTGGTTCTGGGCAGCGCTCATGCCTTGCCCTGCCACCCCCCTGGGACAGGCTGCCCATCTGTCCCCTGCTGCTCCCTGGGGTAATCATAGGGCCAGTACACCACAGCTTCCGAGAGCCAGACACTCACTCCTTGGGACCGGGAGAAGGAGGGGGCGAGGGGAGAAGAGAGGTCAGCCCAGGCTCCAGTTTCAGCTTCACTGCTTTGATCTCCGGCAAGTCCTTTTCCTTCCTCAGCTGCATCCAACCTACATTTTATTGGGAGAAACAGCAGACGTTGTAACGCTCTGTGTACATGTTATTCCCAGAACAGGCAGGAATTGCTATTATCACCATTTTACAGATGGGGAACCTGAGGTAGGAAGAGCCCCAGTCACTGTCCAAGGTCATGCAGCAAGGAAGTGGTGAGGCTGGCACTTGAACCTGGGCCACCTGCTGCTGCCTCTGTGTAGGGCGGCAGCAAACAGGGGCCCACGGGGTTAGGCCGATCAGAGGTGAGGACTGGGGGAGCCGCACCTGGCACCCCTCTGGGGCCTGGCCTTTATGGACTGGGGCCCAGAAGCCATGAGGACCTCTGGCACTGCCCCTGGTCCCCAGCACCCCTATCGCTTCTTCCCTAGGACCTGTCTCTCCGTGTGACGGTGGCTGAGAGCAGCAGCGATGGCCGTGGGGACAACGTGGGCCACGTCATCATCGGGCCGTCCGCTAGTGGCATGGGCACCACACACTGGAACCAGATGCTGGCCACACTGCGCAGGCCTGTGTCCATGTGGCACCCTGTCCGACGAAACTAGCAGCCAGGACAAGGCCAGGGCGGGCACTGGAGCTGCCCGGAGCCTGGCTCAAGCTCAGGTGTGACGCCCTTCTCCATCGTCCAGCTGAAGCCATGAATGCCGGGGCCCCCGATGGACTCCCCAGGAGCCTTCTCGGTCCCGCTACCCAGACTGCAGAGCAGGAGCGGGCCTGGCTGGCTGTCTAGGGACCCAGGGCTCCCCCCACTGAGGACCGGCTGTGGCTGGGCACTGGCTCATTGTTCTCCTATTTTGAGATCCCCAGTGGGTCTGCCCTCAGCCTGGGGGACCTCGCCCTCTCAGAGCTCCCCATACCCAACCCCGGCTGGGAGGCCAAGGCTGAGCTGGGCCACACGCCGGAACAGAGCAAGTCTTGGGAGCCGGGCGCCGTGCTAGGCACCCGCAGGCGTGACATGAACAAGACACAGACCCACAGGATGCCGGGAAGGCAAGATCCCCTGTCCTGGGGATCTACTTGGTGCTGGACGGTGGCCCCTCCAGGCAGACTCGGGGAGGGCCCTGGGGGCTGGAGGGCGGAACGGGAGCTGTGGTTTGAGGGGCAGGGGATGCCCTGAGAGCATTCTGGACGGGCAGTCCCGCCCGAGCGTGGCAGGGACGGAACGTCCTCAGCCCACTGTGGTGGGCCTGCGGGCCTCTTTCTGGGCCAAGGAAGAGACCCGGAGACGGAGCGAGCAGAGGCCCACCCGCCCCACGGGACGCTGGCTCTGGAGTCACTCTCTGAAATCCACCCGCTGGACATCGCCCTTGCCCAGGCCCAGCGGTCGGCAGGCCCAGCCCCAGGCCCTTGTGTTCGGTCCCACACACCCGGGCGCTGGCTCCACGGCGGGTTCTCCGGGTCCGTCCAGGCCAGGACAGGCCCTGTCGGGAAGGGAGGAGAGCTATCTCAGCCTGTGGGGGGCCATGGGCGGTGGGGCGGCCAGGACACAGACTGCAGGGGGGTGGTCTGTGGGAGCAGCCCTGCGGGCTGCAGACCCCTGAGAGGGTGCAGCGGAGCTGGAGACCCTTATGCTGGGCTTTGGGGGGAGGGGCAGCCTGCACAGTGGCCGGGAGGGACCGTCAAGGGGGTCAGAACGGAATATGAGTCTGGGAAGGAGGTGGCTCTGGGAAGGAGGTAGAACACCGAGTGTCCTAGGGCAGGTTCCCAAAGCAGACCCTGAGCTGAGGCGTCAAGGCGTCGGGCAGGGCAGAGCCCCCAGGGGACCCCGGTAAGGGCAAGAGGGGAGCCGTGTGCAGAGAGCAAGTTGTAGCTCCGAGAGAGCCCATCGTCAGCCTGGGGGCTTGGGGGAGCTCCGAGTGTGAACTGCAAGCTGTACCCCGGGGTCAAAGGGGCTCAGCAGTTACCCTGACATGACATGCATCATCTTTGGCTACCATCCCGCCCTCAGCTGGAGAGATAAGGGTCCCTCGCTGAGGGAGTTCCCATTCACCAAGAACAGCACCTCCCAAAAGCAGGCAGCTGTGCACCGTGCACGGCTGGGGGGTGGGTGTCCATGCTGGTTCAAAGGGATGGGGGGGGCACTATCTACCCTGTTGGCCGCCCACAGGTGAGCACGTGGGTGGGATCCCGGGCTGGCTGCCTCTGGCCCTGGTGAGCTGTGGGGACCCAGGCCCCCCGTTATCCCCAGCGATGTGGCGGGAGGGGTGGCTGGAACAGGGTGGGAGGCCTGGGTAGCACTGGAACTAGGGGCAGGACCCTGGCTCTTCCCACCTGACACAGCCATGGCCCGGCCCTGCGGCCAGGCCGGCTACGCTGTAGCCAGCACCAGGAGGTCTGCAGGGCCTGGGGACACATAGCTGGGGCAGCTCTGCAGCCTGAGAGACCCTGGACCCTTCCTACCCCAGGGGCTCTGCGGTGCCAGCCCTGACCCCCACCTCTTCCCCCTCCCCTCTAACTGCATGAAATGTGGACTGCGCCGCGCTGGGATGGGAGTGGTGGGGACTGGATATGCTGAGTGGAATGATTCTAGAACCAAAATAAAACCGGGGCAGGAAGGAGGGGGCTTCCGCAAGCCCTGCTCAGCCTGAATCGCCTCCGGCTCTTCTTCAGGGACCAGGGACCCAGGTCACTGTGAGCCCCCTGCCCCTGCTGCTGCGTGCCCGGGGGCGGGGCGGCCCCAGTCTGCTGGGGAGACCCTGACGAGGACCAGCGCCATCAGGCTGCTTGGGAAGCTCGAGAAGGGGCCCTGAGCTGGGCCCGCAGGCAGGGCGGCAGCAGGAGTCGTCAGGAAAGCTTCCTGGTGGTGCTGCTGGCCCGAGTCTTCAGGACAAGAAGAAGCAGGGTGGGCAAGGCCCAGAAAGCACTCCCAGCAGAGGGGACAGCCTGTGGAAAAGGGCAGGAGCAAGCAAAACTGTGGCCAATTTATCGCCCTTGTGAGAGCAAAGTTGGGGGTGGGGGAGACAAGAGCCAGAGGACAGACCTGGCAGGGGAAAGGGCTGTGTGGGTGAGTGGGTGTTGGTGCCCCGCCTGCAACTCTGCAGCTCTCAGAGGTAGGCACTGTGTCACCTCCTTCTGGCAGCTAATGGAAACGGAAGCTCAGAGAGGTTAGGTAACTAGCCCATGATCACACAGCCTAAATGCCTTCGAGCTGGGATTCGGGCTCAGGCCGTCTCAGCCGTGAGACAACGCTGCCCCTCCTCCAGCTCCTCAAGCGTGGGGCTGAGGGGCAGCAGAAAAGCCCCCCTCCATCCCTGCCTGCTCTGGTTTGGCCCTGCCTCCCTTCCCCTGACCGCTCCTGAGAGATCACGGCAAGCGAGGGAGGAGGCGGATCTGAGTGCGCATTCCCAACATCCCCCAGAAGGCCCGCCCACCTCCAGGCCCGACTGTGAAGAGCTTCCGTGGAACCCGCCCCCAACACCGGGGAGACGGAGGTGACCAATGGGGCGGGCCGGCCGGCCGCGGCTGGAGCCCGTGAAGGCTGACACCGGAGCAAGCTTCCCAGAGGAGAGGGAAACTTGAGCCCTGGCTCTGCGGGGCGGCAGGCTGAACCCACGGAGGGGGGAGGGGCCTCCAGGCCGGGGAACTGCTCGGGCGCATGCACGTGTTGCATGTGCCTGGGGAGCGGAGACTGGGTGTGTCTGGACTGAGTCCGAAGGTCCTTGTCCTGCGGGCGGCGGGGAGCCACAGAGGAGTCCAGGGCAGGAGCAAGTCAGAAGGAGGGAGACAGGGAGGGTCCTGCCCCTTTTAGGTTTTCAGTTCATTCAACAGGGCCCAAACCCAGCTGCTCCCACCTCTTCCTGCCCCTTCCTTCCCTCCCCCACCATGTCCCCTCCTCCACCCCCAGGGAGCCTCAGGGGTAGGCTGAGCCCCACCCAAGAGGCCGTGTGTGGAGGCTGCTGGCTTGCCCAGCGGTGGTGGCCACTCCAGGCCTGCACGTGGGAGGGGCGGGACCCGTCCGTCTGTCGCCGCAGCGGTCAGCAGCTCCGAACCTCCCTTCCTCTGTCCTGCCTGCGGTTGTCTGCGGCTGCAAACACCGGAAGGGTCAGCCCAAAAGGCTAAATAAATGCCAGGACTGGGGCACAGGGCTCCCTCGCTCTCCACTCACCACCCCCCCCCCCGCCCCCGCAATCAGCCTCCTCACCCACCCACCCAGAAGGATCAATGACGGGGAGGCGGGGAGAGGAGGCGCGGGCAGAGGGGCCGTGTCCCCAGTCAGATGGCCGCCGGGGTCCAATTGGGCTCCGGGAGCCCAGCAGAAGAAAACCTGAGAGGACAGGCCCCTCTGGGTCCTGCCCTCCCTGTGGTGGGAGGGCCTGCTGCCAACCTGCTGTGCGACAAGTCCCTCCCCTCGAGAGCCTCGGTTGCCCCATCTGACTTTTGGGGGACTCTGTGTGTAGAGGCTCTAGCGCCCCATTGCCTGGGTTAGAACCCCAGCTCCTCCACGCATCAGCTGTGGGACCTTTGGGCCTGAGGTTCCTTGATTGCCAAAGAGTGTAAGAATTATACACACTTCACGGGATGGAATGCAATGACACGTGCCAGGTGTCCGGCCCGCAGGAGGTGCTCACTAAATGTGAGGTCAAGGCTTTGGGTGGAGCTCCAGCCCTTGGGATGTGGTGTCTGGGATGAGAGGAGGAGAGGGTACACAGGGAGACGTCCCCAGCCAAGGTATTCCAAGGGCAGCACTGGACTCTGACGTTCCACACCCCTAGCACCCGCTTTCCCTCCCCTTTAGCTATTCACGAACACCCCAATCCCCAGTCCAGGAACCCCAAGCAGAGCAGGCCCCGAGGGGTGCGGATGGTGCAGGGAGGACAGCCACCACACGGGGGCAGCAGAGACTCTGCTGGAACAGCAGCGGCCACCGAGCCTCTGGAAGGGCACGGGTTGGGGTGTCAGGAAATGGGACCGAGGGACCTCAGCCCAGAGGGAAGCTGGAGGGTGGGCACCTGTCTGCTGACCCAGGACTCAGGTCATGTGCAGAATGCACTCATCCATGCAACCATCTGCCCCTTTGTTCATGTCTTTACTCTGCTTATGGGGTCAGCCCTCCTTCCTCCCTTCCTTCTTTCCTTCCTTCCTCCCTCCCCTGCTCCCTCATGTTCCTTCCCTTCCCATTTGTCCTGCCAGGCAGGCAGTCGGCCACAACATCCTGAGCCACAGGAGGGCCAGCCTGGCCACCTCTGCTGTTCCAGGGGCTTTGGGGCCCTGACCCGCTCTGCAGGGTTTCCAAAGGACTCTGGGTTTGGGACCGGTGGCGCCTCAAGGGGCTGAGTCACCCACGGGCTGGCAGTAAACCGCAGACACAGAAAACAGTGTAACAGTAAACAGTCCCCTGGCCAGACAGACTGACCTGGGGCGCCTCCCCACTCCCAGATAAACTCCAGGAAAACATTGCTGTCCGGGGCCCAGCAGTTCCCGAGATGTGGGGAAGCTCCTTGTCAACCAGGGCAGATTTCCTGGGCCCTGACCTCCCTCCGGCAGCAGCTTGAGCGCTGAGTGGGGGCGGGGTGGGGGGTTAACATCAGTAGGTCCGAGCGCTGAAGGAGCTCAGGCATGGGCGCCGTGGTGTCGGGAGAGAGCCCGGATTTTGTGGCTAGACCCTCGTTCAAATTAGCGTTCTGCCTCTTAGTAGCTGCGGATCTTAGGCAAGAACTTAACCTCTCTGGTCCTCAAGGCTTCTCATCTGTGAAATGGGGCTAGCAGTCCCCACCTGCCTGGGGCGGCACCTGCTCGGGGTTAGCGATACATTAATGGGCGCCGTGATGATGAGGAAAGGTTCCGTGAAACTGTCAAGCGTGTGGCCCGTCGAAGATGTCATTAAAGTGATTATCCCTATAGCAACGACGGCCAAATTCCTCTGCCTGACTCTCAACTCCCTCCGCCCGCAGTCTGGCCCCACCTGCCTCCCAGCCTTGCCACCCGAAGCCTAGTGACAGCAGCAGTGGGTGGGACAGGGGATGACGAGGCTGACAGCTGATCGCTGGGGGTGGGCCCCTCCCCACCACTCCTTAGGGCAGGGCGGAGAGCCCTGCTCAGTGGCTACACACCCATCCCAGTGCCGGGTCACTGCCCAGCCCTGTGGCAGTTTCAGGGAGGAAAGAAAGTCTGAAGGGTGGGGAGGTCCTGGGCTGTTCCCGGCATCCAGGTGAGGCCCCAGTCGGCCTGCAGACTGGGGCCCGGGGGGAGCATGGAGAATGAGTCAGGGGTCTGGGCTCCACCTCCGTGTGGCGGGGGCAGGGCCGCCTGCCCTGGCTGCCTCTTCGGGCCACAGGGAGCTTCCAAGGGGGCTGAGAGGGCTTTGAACTTCAGGCAGATGACACCATGGCCTGAGAAGGGGAGGGCAAAGACTTCTTCCCCCTCTTTCCTTAAGCTTCAGTGAAAACACTCATTGCACGACCTGGGGAGGCCCTCGTGCCCATTTCTGAAGGGTTTGAACTCTGGTTACGAACAGGGGTGGGAGGTCGGGTGACAGCGAGTTTCCACCTCAATTCTGCATTCCTTCCCGGCACCCGAGGGGCTCCGCTCCCCAGGCTGGTTCACCCTCAGCCTCACGCCGGCACCAGCGCACCTCCCCCTCCGTCACAAGGAGGGACTGTGACCCCCAGAGCACCCCTTCTCTCTTGCCCCCATACCCTGCATGGGCTGCTCCCTCCATGTGGGGCACTCCCCCCTGACCCACCTGACTGTGCGTCTCACTCTGTCTTCAAGACTCCGGTGGTCCCTCTCTTCGGAAGGGCTTCCTGACCGCCCCCCTCCATCTAGGGGAGGGGCTGCTCTTCCCTCCAATCATCCCCCTGCCGGTCCCCACCTCTGCTGTAGCTCTTACTACTCAGATGCCCTGCCTGTCTCCCATTCTAGGCATGGGCTTCTCGGGGTAGGGGCTTCATCTGAAACGGTTCAGTGTCCCCAGGCCCTGGACACACAGGGACCGGCGGCGCTGGTTAAATAAGAAGAATCACTCATCTACGGCACCACCCATGCGCTGGACCTCCATCTAAACTCTGTGTAGATGGAAGATTCCAGGGCTTTCCCCAGACCCTGCCACAGCCAGAAGTGACACAGGTGGTCACCCACCTGCAGTGAAACTTCCTGGAGCTGGCAGGGGAGGGCAGACAGGGCTTGGCAGCGCTGGGGACCGACCCACCTCACCCCATTCCTCCCGGGCCTGAAACGCCTGGCAGGGAGACTGGGATGGACTATGTCTGCAGAGCCCTTGGAGAAACGCTCATTCATTCATTCATTCATTCATTCCCCCCGCCCCCCCCCCTCAAAAGTCGCTGGCTTCTGCTCCGTTCCCAACCTGTACTGGGCACCTGGAACCCAGTTCCCGCCCCCACCAAGCTGGTAGGCCAACATGGCCGACCCTTTCCCTGGGAAGGTGGGCCAGGTGCCTCCTCCTGCCCTGCTCACACCCTACACACACTGTCCTCGTCCGGCTGCCTCCCTCTCCTGCCCCGCCCCCAGACCAGAATTCCCTCCCGAGGATAGAGACTTGAGTCTGGATCCACCCCAGCTGTGGTCTTAGCGCCGGCACACAATAGGTGCTTAAGAAATCTTTCTTTAGTGGCTGAATGGGATGGGAGGGGAAGGGCCGGCGGCCAGTCGCCACGCCTGGTCGCCCCGCGCGCCCCGATCCCGGCCGGCCGGGGCCTCTCACCTGGGCGCCCCAGCCGCCCGCCCGCCCCCTGCCCGGCTCGCACTTCCTCCCGCCGCCCCGCCCCTTCCACATTCCTGCCCCGCCGGGCCTTCCCCGCGCCGGCCTTCGCCGCAACCCGGCCGGACGCCGCTCCGCGCCCGGCCCCTCGGCCGGCCCCGCGATGAAGGCGTCCCAGGCCGCGGAGGAGGAGGCGCCCCTAGGCGCGCGGTCGGTCAAGGTGGTCCTGGTGGGCGACGGCGGCTGCGGGAAGACGTCGCTGCTGATGGTCTTCGCCGAAGGGGCCTTCCCTGAGGTTAGTGCCAGAGCCCCCCCCGCCCCGGGCACAGCGCCCACGGCTGTGCGCGCATCCCCGCCGGGCCACGGCCACGCACGGGCTCTTGGTGTGCCCCGTCTGCGCTGGAGCTGTCGGCGCCCACGGCTGTGCGCGCACCCCCGCCTGGCCGCGGTCCTGCAGGGGCTCCTGTTGTGCCCCGTCAGGACGGGAGCTGCCCAGGAGGTGTGCCCCTGGTAGCCTCCAGAGGGGTGCCCCCGCAGAGTGTGCTGAGGGGGGCGGTGGATCGAAGGCAGTTCTCACCTCGCCATCCATCGGGAGTGGGGGCCTCCGTGATGTCATCTGGGAGGATGGCACCGAGCTGGGAGGGGTGTCCCAGGGCAACCTGGCTCGGAGCAGGTCCCAAGGGAGCACTTCGTGGCACTGCATGGCTGAGGGAAGCCGACCTCTAGAGCCAGACTTCCTGGGTTCGAATCATGCCTTTGCCATTTACAGCTGTGTGCCCTTGGGTAAGCGCCTTACCCTCTCTGTGCCTGTGCCTGCCACCCAGGGTTCACTGCCAAGAGTGAGTGCGTACAGGTCAGGCGTTCGGCTCAGGACCTGCAACAGGAAAGTGCTCCCTAAAGATAGCAAATGTCCTTCTTGGGAAAATCATCTTTTCTTCCCCTGCTTTGCTCCTACCATGGACATCCCCTGAGCTCTGCCCTGGAGGATAAAAGCTCACCAGACTCGAGTCAGACAGCTGGTTGGCACCTCGGCACCCCTCTCGAGCTGTGTGGCCCTCAGTAACTTGCTTAGCCTCTCTGCGCCTCCGATTCCTCACACAGCCTCATGGGGAGGAGGGAACCAGGGAGGAGGGAACCAGGGCGGTGGGAAGGTAGAATTCCAGTAAGGCTGAGGGATGACCCTGCGTGGTGCCTGGCATGTCCTGGGTGCTTGGCCATGCTGACCGTCGGTCCTTCACCAGCACGCTCACTGACTGTCCCGGCAGACTTGCCAGGCCCCAGGACAGGGGCTGGACCCACCCACCGGCCACCTCTCAGCCCAGCTCTCCCGGGAGCCGAGGGTTTGCTCTCGGCGTCTCTTCTCCCTCCTGCCTCTCCCCGCTCCCTGCCCGCCGGGGTTGTTGTGTAGGCGCTGGGGAGGCGGCCGGGGGAGGCAGGGGCGGCCGAGCCTGCCCAAAGCCCGGACCTTTCTTTCCACTGTGGCGGCATCCAGCAGACTCTTGCGGTTTACGGAGCTGACGTCACCTCCTTTGGCCACATATTTTTTCAAGTCACATTTTTTTGTTAAGTTGTGGGAACTGTGTTTCCGGGCCCCCAGATGCTGCCCACGGGAACCCAGCAATTGTGGCTTATGGGGGAGAGCACTGCAGAGAGGCCAGGCCGGCGGGCCCCAAGAGAGGGGCTGGGGCTGGGAGCGGCCGTGCCTCACCACCAGCGTCCGGGGCTCTGAGCCCAGTGTCCCTGGAGCCGAGACCCATCACGGTGTCGAAGGTGACAGTGTGGACGTGGGCACCTCACGGCCGATGAGATGTGCACTGAAGGACACACTGGGGCTGGTCAAGGGCAGGACGGGCACGTTCGTCAACTGAGGGACGGACCCGGCCTTGTCCGGGCTCTTCCCTGTTTGGGGACCCTGATTCCCAGGGATCCCTCTGCCTCCAGGCACAGGAGAGTCGCCTTCATTTAAAAGGAACAAAAGGTCCACGAGTTGGAAAGGCTGAGGCCAGCCAGCCGGGGTCTGGCCTTAAGCGGCCGTGCTGGCTTAGAACCCAGGTCTCCCTGCTCTCCGCAGCTCCCTGTGCCCTGCCTGCTGGACCCAGCCTTCTCCTGCCTCTGGACGCCTCCTCCTGGCAGCCCTCCAAGCCCAGAGAGCCAGGAGCTAGGAGACTGGGGGCTCCATCTCTTAGCCGTCCTGTCTGCAGCAAAGAGCAGAGAGCAGGCTGGGATTTGGAGGGTCCTCAGCGACTTTTGTCTGGTTGTGCCCCAACCTTGGGTTCAGAGCAGGGGGAGTTGGAGGAAAAGAACTCCTGCAGCAGGGGGGACTCCTGGGTGACATCTGAGACAGCAACCGTCCCCACAGGGCCAAAGCCCAGGGACCCCACAGCAGCATGACAAGGGACAGGACAGGGACCAGCTGAGTCTTCCTGGTCCACAAAGGGACTGCCGTGGGCGTGCTGCTCAGGGAAGCCCCTGGCTCCCCTCTCGGGGGCTACGGCCCCTGTCCCGTCATGACCCGGGTGCCTGGCTGTACGCCCCCTGAGGGCAGACCCAAGCCTGAGTCACCTCTGCCCTGGTCTAGCCTGGCCCAGCCCTGCCTCTCTGGCTGAGGACAGCTCAGCAGACAAAGATTAGGTGCTTCTGGTCCTGTGGGCAGAGAGTGACCCTGCCTGGCGGTTCAAAGACCACGACGGAGGATGTAGACAGAGTCTCCAGAAAGACATTCCAGAGCAGGGGCAAGGGTCGCGACAATGACGAACCAGAGGAGCAACCCGGCCCCACGTCGTGGACTGGGGCTTTCCGGCTCACTCCCGGCACAAGGGGCTGGAGTTGGTGCCCCGCCCCCCCCCCCCCGCTGAAGCAGGTGAAGCGCTGGGTGGCACACTGCCCCTCCGGTCAGGAGGGCCCTGCGCGGGACCTCTCTGCCGTGAGTGGGTGGCCAAGCGGGGAGCCCAGCAGGCGTCGGTGCCCTCCCGCTACAGGCTGGTGGGGGGAGGGGCACACACCAGAGGGATAGACAGTGGCTGGTGTGGACACTGTGCCTGGCAGCCAGCTGTCGAAGTGGCTGGCGCTGATGCTGGACCTCACCTGCCCGCCGGCCTTCCCCGTCACACTGTGAGGTGACGCACTTCTCCTTGAACCAGCGAGGAGACTGGCCGAAGGTCACGCAGGCGGTGGGTGTCGGAGCCAGTGCTAAGCTAGACATAGCTGATTCCAAGGCACCATGTCACACTGTCCCCCACCAGGCAGAGGGCCGTGGGCAGGCAAGGGGGGTGGGGAGGCACGCGGAGGCTCTTCTGTTCCGGTTAGTAGAGGGGGTGAGAGAGGCGACGAGAGTCCAGGGCGGGCTGAACCCCTGCCCCAGGGTCATCCGCACGTCTCCCTCTGCCCCAGCCTCCCGCTCTGGGGCTCGCCTTTCCCTTCACCTTCGCCCGACAGCTCCCCCAGCGCCCTGGGGGACAGCACCTCCCCAGACCTACCAGGAGGCGCCTGCCCTTCCCAGAGGCCAGGGCCTGACTCTCTGAGGCCCGGCCACACAGCGCGGGCAGTGGGGGCAAGGACCGGGCCTTTGGGGCCGTCGCCCTACTGACTGCCCCTGAGCAAGTGAGTGAGGCCTGGGGAGCCAGCTGTCACAGTCCCGCGTGCCCCTCTGGGCAGCTTGTGTGACAGAGTTTTGAAAACCTCCTCACCTGTCGCTCAGACCTCATCTGTAAAAGCCCCCCCCCCACCCCCGGCCGCTTGATTCCTGCGTACAAAACTCGTCCTCTTTCCACTCACCCCCCCGACCCCCCCTTTACGGAGAGGGAGCGAGCTCCAGGCCGGGACAGGGCACTGTGGCCCCGGGTGATCTCCCTCGGAGCCCGGACAGGGCAAGCGAGAGGCGGACGTCATCAGGGGCCGTGGGAGGGGGTCCCAGAGGAGGAGGTGGCGTTGGCAGGGGGCCTCGGCGGGACTGGGAGGGGATGAGAGGCGGAGAAGGGACCCACACAAGGACACACTCTAGGGCCAGCGCTGAGCCTGCTTTATGCCGGGCGCTGGGGCTTGTCCGTGTCCTGCGCCCGCGGTCCAGAACTGGCCCCGGGGGAGGGTGTATGACCCGATACATGAATGAATGAACGAGCGAACTAACAACGGCAGGTTAACGTCCTTCCAGGAGGAGGGGACAGCGTGAGGGAAGGCTCAGAAATGGGACAGCCCCCCCCGTCCGAGGGGACAAAGATAAAAATAACGGTGGCCGGCACGGGTGGAATGTTTATTTTGTGCCGGGCTCTGTGCTAAAGGCTCTGCGTGGAGCACCTCGCGGAAGCCTTGCAGCAGCGCGCTGTGGCGGGCGCTTCTAATACCCCGCTTTGCGTCCGCGAGGTTGGGGGGCGGGAGAGGCCTCCGCCCTGCCGGCACACAGCTAGCAAGCAGCGGCTCCGGGCCTCGGCCCCACCAGACCACTTCCAGAAACTACCGCGTGCGGCCCGACTCCCAGTGAGGGTGGTGCCGCAGGCCTCCCTGGGCCCCGGCCTGCGCGCGGCCGGCCTACCCCCCTTCCGAAGTCGTCCTCACCGCCTCTCCTGGCCCCCTTCTTCCTCAGAGCTACGCCCCCACGGTGTTTGAGCGGCTCACCGTGAATCTGCAAATGAAGGGCAAACCCGTGCACCTGCAAATCTGGGACACGGCAGGTGGGTGTGCGGGGCTGGGGGAGGTACAGGGTGGGAAGAGGGGCCCCGGAGGGTGGGAACCAAGCCCCACCCCCTTCCTTCTGAACCGGCAGGCCGACCAATCGCCAAAGGACAGGTGTGGGCGGGGACTGGGACCCCCGGAACTGAACCCTTCTTGCTTCTGAGCCTGGGTCCACGGCCTCCCCGACCCCAGGGCCGCCCGACGTGTTCTGGAGACGAGGGAGAGGCCAGAGCTCTTGGCTCTCAAGGGGTGGACTGTTCCTAGACTCAGCGTTCCACCCTGGCTTCTGCTTCTGCAAGATCTGCCTGACCTTGACCTCTTCCCTCTAGCCTGCTGACCTTGCCCTCACGACGGCTCAGAGTCAGATTCACATCAGAGCTCAAAGCTAACCGCAGAGAGCCCCAGCAGCCTCCTCACCGTGCATGGGCAAAGATGTCTTTGCCGGAGTCCCTCCCGCCTCTCTCCCCTCCCCCCTGCAAGCCCAGGGCAAAGCAGGCTTCTCAGTGATGGCCTCGGCCCCTCCAAACTGGGCCTGCGCCTTGCCCCAACCTTCCAGAACAGGGATATCCCAGCAAGGGGCCTCACACAGGCCGGGGCTGGCATGTCCTGCAGGCAGGCCAGGGGACACTGCCCCAAGGGTGACATTCATGCGGAATGGCAATCTAAGACCCTAATCCAGACACACACACACACTCAGTCTGGTGGTGTCCCCGGCGCGGTGCCGGGGAGGTGTGGACAGTGGGCAGGGGATCTGGAGAGTGACCTCACCCGTTCTACCAGGACAAGTCGACTATGACCGCCTGCGGCCCCTGTTCTACCCTGACGCCAGCGTCCTGCTCCTTTGCTTCGACGTCACCAGCCCACACAGCTTTGACAACGTCTTTAACCGGGTAGGCACTTGCGGGGGAGGGGAAGGCACGGCCCCCACGGCCAGGCCACACTGCTCCACCCCCACTCTCGGCCCAGCGGACTGTCCACGCTGAGCAGGCCCCAGCGACATCCTCGCCGGTGCCTTCGGCAGCAACTTGCTGGAGGTGCCACTGGGATTCGGCGGGTGGGAGGGTCTGCCCTCTGGCTCCTGGTCCCGCGCCCCTCACCGGCTTGCTGCTGCAGACTCAGAACACAGTGGCCCCTGCCGGAGGATGCTGGGTGACCCAGAGGCCTGGATCTCCCCAGCCTGGGCCTGGCCAAGGCCACATCAGCTGTCGGCTCCCAGCAGCTCGCAGCCCCATCTGAGCGCTTGCCCCACAGCGGGCCTACGGGATGCCCCCCAGTTATGTCAGGGGTCCAGAAGCTACACACAGGGGTCAGGGCCTCTGTGCATGGCGTTCCAGGGCTCCTTGGGGTGTCAGCAATAACCACACACCGATGGGGGCGGCATTAGAACTCACCTCGTGCCAGGCCCTGTTCCGGGCACACATGCATTTACTTATCTAACCCCCTTCAACCTCAGGGGGCAGAGACTATCACTGCCCCCAGACTGGATCACTTTCTCCAAGAAGCACATCTCTGGAAGTGTAACACGGGGATTTGAACCCAAGCATCCTGCTTCATGCAGTCATTCAGAAGTATTGACCGAGTGCATCTATGTGCTGGGCGCTATTCTAGGCACCGGGGACCAGGCTCAGTGGTGGTGGCTGGGACCGGGGTGCTAGGAGAGGGGGTGGTGAGCGGTGGGGGGATATTGAATCTGTCTGAGAGGTAAAGCCGTCAGCATTTGCAGGTGGTTTGGACGTGGGTGGGAGAGAGACACTTTAGCCAGAGTAGCCGGAAGGGGGGCTTGCCGTTTCTCAAGATGAGAAGGCACAAGCTAGCAGTAGGGAGGTGGGAGGCGGGGGCCTGCTGGGCATTCCGGGGCAGGTGGCAGGTAGGCAGGGGGGAGTCTAAGCCTGCTGTTCCCGGGAGAGGGCTGCGCCTGGCCCATCCATTCAGGAGCTGCTAGTGTGAAGGAGCCACGGACTTGGGGCAGCCACCTGGAGGTCACCTGAAGGGCAAGAGCAGCTAGAGGAGAGGCAAGCCCACAGCTTGGGGGTGGGGTTGCTGGTAAGGCCCAAGAAGAACCAGAAGAGTGGGGTCCTGGGGCGAGGCTCAGACCGGGTCTCGGAGGAGAGCACGACGGCCCTGGCATCAGGGCTCAGGCGGGATGAGGGCTGAGGACTCCATTTGGGCTTAGCAAGGCGGAGACCCTTTGGGAGAGCAGTGTGGCGGAGGGCTAGGGTGTGGGGAAGCTGCGCAGGACCCCACACGGGCCCCACGTGGCTCCAGGAGCTAGCTGGGCGGGTGCCGAGTTTTCCTGAACGGACACACAGGGCAGGCACGCAGTCCGGGACAAACAGAGCCTTGTCTCCAGACTCCCGGCTCCCGGTTCGTCATCCAGGCTGAAATAACCTGGAGCCTCACATTCCAAAGAGCAGCTGACTCAGGATGAGAGCGCTCCCTCCCACGGGCGAGCAGCTGCTGTAAGCACGTAAGCTGCTTTGTCTTTACAGGATCGCTCCCCGGCTTACACGTTTCACCCGGCCGGGGAGGCGGGGTCCTGGGCCCCGACCTCCAATCCTGCCAACTTCCCGTCGTGGCACCGCGCCCAGTCCCATAGCCTCTCTCTGGGCCTCAGTCGCCACACGTGTGCCATGGGATTCATTGGAAGTTGCTCCACAGGGGCCTGGGGGTTAAAGCGTTCACAGGTGTGACGTCTCAGAGCTGGCACAGAGCGGGGCTCCCCGGACGCTGGCTGTGCTGCTGCTCCAGCTGCCTGGGGAGCAGGAGGAAGGCCCGTTCTCCCCTCCGCGGAGAGGGCAGCTCCCCCGGTGCTGACACCCACCCCCACCCCCGCCCCCTTCCCCACAGTGGTACCCAGAGGTGAATCACTTCTGCAAGGAGGTGCCCATCATCGTCGTGGGCTGCAAGACCGACCTGCGCAAGGACAGGTCCCTGGTGAAGAAGCTGCGGAAAAATAGGTTGGAGCCCGTGACCTACCACAGGGTAGGAAACCCAGCCCAGGGGCAGGAGTGCTGGGAGAGGGGACCGCCGGGACACGTGCACCATACAGGGTGCCGGGTGTCCGGCACACACAGGGTGTGGGGGGCAGGGTAGGGGTCTCCTTGCGGGCAGCCCTGGGTCAGAGGCAGCTGGTGCTTGGACGAGGTCCCTAGAACACTCGGGAAGGTTCTGCCCCTGGAAGGGAGACCCAGTGATGGCCACCTCAGACAGTCCTACCCACCCACATCACAGGCGGGGGACCTGCGGCCCACAGAAGACCCTCAGCTCCTCAGTCTGCAGGTCCCTCCCTGCGGCACCCCTGGGAAGTTAGTAGTACCTTGAGAGGCAGAGACCCAGCCCAGAACCGAGGCAGGAAACCCAGTGCAGCCGTGCGGGCGCTTGGTCAAGCCAGGGGCACCCTAGAAAAACTCACCTGCTTTCGCGCTGGAGACTCCGGAGGATGGTGGCGGAGAGGGCCGCGGGGAGGCTGGGCGTGAGGTGCCCCAGCAGCCCCCGCTCACGGCTGCCGGTCCCCTCTCCCTGTCAGGGCCAGGAGATGGCCAGGTCCGTGGGTGCGGTGGCGTACCTCGAGTGCTCCGCGCGGCTCCAGGAAAACGTCCACGCAGTCTTCCAGGAGGCGGCCGAGGTGGCCCTCAGCAGCCGCAGTCGCAACTTCTGGCGGCGGATCACCCGGAGCTTCTGCGTAGTGACCTGAGGGCGCGCCGGATCCCCCAGCCCAGATGGCCCCGGCAGCTCAGGACGGAGCTGGGCCGTGACCTATTGCCCCCTTGGTTAGACTGCGCCCTGTTCCCAGGCTGTGACCGAACTGCCCCTCAAACAGATGATCACCACAGAGGCTGCGCCCTGGACCCTGGGGCTGAGGTCCCCCGGCTGAAGCAAAACCCCTCTGTGGCCTGAGAAAGGGACTTCCCGGGTTCACCAGCCCTGCGGAGGTCTAGTCCCGGAGTCCCCTGGAATCCAGGCACCCCAAACTCGCAGCCTTGCAGCCTGGCGCCACCTCGCGGCTGTTCTCGGGGCTGCACCTGGCGGTCCTAGGGCCACCACCTCCCCCACTGTGATCAGAACTCACACCTCGCCCCTTCTCCCTTCACCCCGCCCTTACCAGTGTTAACTGTAATGACTAAAATGACATCACCTTTCAGCTGTGGCATGTCTTTTTTTAAAAAAAAAATGTCTTGATTTGAGAGAGAAACATCCATTTGTTGTTCCACTTATTTATGCATTCATTGTTTGATTCTTATATGTACCCTGACTCAGAATTGAACCCTCAACCTTAGCCATCTGGACGATGCTCTAACCAACTGAGCTACCCTGTGAGGGCCACCACGCCTCTTGTTTCGAAATGCCTGTACACACGTGTTCCAGGTTGGATAAGAGCCCCTCCCATGTAGGTCCCAGAGCCGGGCTGCCTGGCTCCAAGCCCTGCCCTCGGCCCCACCCTTAGCTTCTCCCCTTCACTTTCTTTCTTTCTTTTTTTTTTTAAGATTTTATTTATTTATTTTAGTGGGGGAAGGGAGGGAGAGAAAGAGAGAGAAACATCAATGTGCGGTTGCTGGGGGCCATGGCCTGCAACCCAGATATGTGGCCTGACTGGGAATCGAACCTGAGACACTTTGGTTCACAGCCTGAGCTCAATCACTGAACTATCCCAGCCAGGGCTTCCCCTTCACTTTCTCTGAGAGCTCTGGCACCATTTGGCATTGTCCTGTCTGTGTCCCCACGGGAGGGCCAGCTTCCCTAGAGCACAGACTGGGTTCATTGGAATCCCTGTGCCTCAAACAGTGCCTAGCGTACAGGAAGCGCAGTCTCGGCCCCTGTGCCCCCAGAAGGAAGTCCAACTTCCGCAGCCGGGGACTTGGGCTCTCCTATATCTGACCGCGGCCCACCTTTTCCTTCCCCGTCCCCGCTGGACGCCCTGACACCTAACCCCCAGCCACACCCGGGGAGCACTAACACCCATAGCAGCCTCCGTGCCTCTGCTCAGTCCGTTCCTCCACCTCAGCACGCCCTTCCCCCCAGGCACTGTGCACCCACAGGCCCTTCTCCAGCAAGCCCTCGGATCTGCCGGCTTCCCCGCTCCCACCCCACTGCATCCACACCCTGAAGCATCCACCGTCCTGCTCAGGGCCCCTTGCCTACGAAACTGGGTTTTTCTTCCTGAGCCGTGGGAGAGGCCAGCTCGGACTCCTGAAGATGACAGGTCTGGTGGCGGGACCAGGTGTCTGGGAGGGTGGGAGGGGGGACCCGTTGGGCAGCTGCAGACGTCCAGAAACCAGGAACAAGCCACCGCATGTCAAGGCCAGGTGACTTCTCGCGGCGAGGATGGACTGCAGGAAGGGCGGGGACGCTGAGAGCGAGAGAAGAATGCTGGCCTCTTTCCTACAGGAGAAACTCCGAGAACGAGAGCCCCCTCTGGGCGCCGGGACTGGGAGAGGTGGGGATGTCAAATGACCGGTTTGCAGCTTCAGGCCCGATCCTGCCCGTGCGCCCCACGCAGCCCCGTCCCGGGTGTCACAGGCAGGCACAGCGAGTGGCAGCACTGGGAGACACCCGCCCACCGAGCAGCCAGGGTTGTTATTATCGGTGGTTGTTCCCCTCCTCCTCGCCAGCCAAACCGTGCAGCTCCTTGCAACCCGGCCTGGTGGGACGGGCGCAGACAGGTGGGAGTGGGGGAAGGCGAATCCCGGCGGCCAGTGGGGCTAAGAGCCACAAACCACAGTGCCTTCGTCCCTCCACACCACCTCCGCCTGGCCTTGGGCTGTCTGCCAGAAGGTGAGGGGTGGAGGTGGGGACCCCAAGTCATCTCCAGGACAGGCCACTCCCTGGCATCGTCGGGTGGCCAGGGCGGGGCGCACTCTGTCTGTGAGTCATGAAGCTTCCCTCTTTCCCTGTGCCTGGACAGCACCCTGGGCCCCACACGTGGGCGTGGGGAAGGGGTGGCAGCTGGCGGATCACCCCACTTCAGGTCACCTTCTTTGCCCCCAGGAAGTCATCCCAAAGCCACAGTGGGGCAGGGGTCAGGAACCAGCAAAGCCTGTGGCCCGGCTGAGGTTCAGAGAGGTCCAGAACTGAGTTGCTGACACCCACCCTACATGCCAGGGCTTGACCTCCAAGTTCAATGCTTCTGATTAAGGATTATGGAAAGTATATGGCAATTTCCTGGGTTCAAATCCCGGTCCTGCCATTGACCAGCTCTGTGACTTTGGAGGAGTCACTAGGGCTCTCTCTCTGTCAGTTTCCTTACATGGAAAATGAGGCGAAGGGTAGGACCGGCCTCCTGGCGAGTTGCATGAGCTCATGCCACTGGTGCTTATTCACTCAGTGTTAACTACGAACTGCAGTTACTAACTAGGAAACGAGGGCCATTACTCACGCCTCAAGGTTGTTGCAGGCTCTGCAGAGCAGCAGCAAGCATGGACGTGTTGGATGGGTGCTGGTCTCCTTTTCCCGATCTGGGTCACCACACCCCGGGAGGAGGAGGGAGGGAGCTCAGACCCTCCTGGTAACAAGGACGGGAAAGCCTCAGTGGGCCATGGACAGGGAGTAGGAGGCTATTCGTGGGGCCGGCAGGACCCTGGGCGTGGAGCCAGGGGGATGGACGGGAATCCCTCCAGGGTTCGTGTTCGCAGAGGAGACACCAAGCCTGGTCCCGTGCTGATCACAGGGGAGGGGAGGGGGGAGGTGACAAGGATGTGGTTTGTGCTTTCCAAGCCTCCATCCTCATGGGAGTTGCGATGTGGACACAAGCAACCGGGGAGGCGAGCGTCCAGTATTCGCTCCGCAGCCTGCTCCTGCCACGGAGAGAAACAGGAGGGGAGTAGAGACAGGGGGGCCAGGCAGGTGCTTCCCACTGAATGAAAGACACAGCCAACCCAGGGCTCCCCACCGCGCCGACGCCCCTGCAACCCGGTTGTTCTAGGACCCTCGCTCCTTTCTGGCCGGGCCCCGTAGGGGACAGTCTGCGCATCCTGCCTCATTCTGTCCTTACCATCCCTTACTTGACAGACGAGAAAACACGTTTAGAGAGCCAACGAGCAGGACAAAAGGCAGCGAGTGGCAGAGCTGGGCACCCGGACACAGCAGGAGATGGGACTCCGGGCTCCTGACCTCCCCTGGGCACTGGCCGACAGCTGGGCCTCCACCAGCAGAGGGCAGCAGGGCCCAGGAAGAGGAGCCTTCCCCCAGCCAGGGGAGGCCGGCCTGCAGGCAGGCAGGCAGGCAGGCCGGCCAGGTGATCAGATCTGCCCCAGCTCGCCTTCGTGTCCTGGGGCACTTTGGGGACACATCACTCCCACTGGCTGCTACCCACTGAGTGATGCCCACCCCGCGGTTGTGCTGCAGAAAAAAACAGCCTCGGAATGGCCACGGGATCTGATCATTCCGGCCAGTCTGGGCGCGCTGTCCCGTTTGTTCTGGCTCTAGGTCAGAATCTAAGGTCCAGATCCTGGCCCTACAATGACCACCTTGCAGGGTTAGGGTCAAGTTTGTGGGCCGGAGTGAGATCAAAGGAAACAGCCAAGCCGCTCCGAGGGGGCCGCATAACCCAGGTTCACTTTTTACTTTATGCTGCACCTGGGCGGCAGGTGGGGACTGAGGGCTCTCGGGCCCTGCTCTTCTCCCCTGAAACTTCTACGCCGGAATTTGTGACCCAGTTCAGAGAAATGATCGAAACTCTTCAAGAATGTCAAGGAACCCCAGGGTGTGCTCCCTGAATGTAAAGCGCTGCGAGCCGGCACCTGGGGCCAGAATTATTGCAGGGGTGGGGGGTGGGGGGCCGGTGCGAGCAGCAGGAGGAGGAGAGAAGGGAAGAGGGGGACCTGGAGGACCCCGGCACCTTCCTGCCGGAGAACCAACCCGCATGGAGACCCACGGGAAGCGGCCGGGAAAGTTTCAAAATTTTCTTCTCCGTGGACTCCCAACAGCTGAAGGAGCTGAGTCATGTGACAAAGCATAGTCACGTGACCCAGAGGTGACACACACACACACACACCCTCAGGGCTTCCCTCTGGCCCAACTATGTCACTTTAGACACCCGAGCTCTCCTTTCAGTTTCCCCAGCTCCAACTCCACCCCCTCACAGAAAGATGTGGCCAGATAAGGAGTACTTGACAATTGTCACGTACCCTAGGTTCCTCTAGGCAGCTCCACTCACCTCTGCCCCACCCCCGGGCCCGGCCGACACCACCTGACCACAGGGTGTTGGGAATGCCCCTGTCAACAACGGGAGATTCCTCTTCCTGGAGTCGCCAGCCCAACTCCCTCCTCCCGCTTGCTGGGCTCTCTTCCCGAGGGACTCGGCCGGCCGTCTGTCCTGTTTGCTGCATCCGTTGTGGTCGCTTCGGTTCAGCCACAACTCTTTGTTGAGCACTCACTGCAAAACCTGCCCCTGGACCCTCCCCATCTCTCCATGCTCCGTCCTCAGTGCAGCCTTGCTGGGAGGCAGCATCCTTCCCTTTGGGAAGCTGGGCCACCCAAGCGACCCTCACTGTCCCCAGACCCCGGCAGCCAGGACTTCAGCAACAACCCTTGCTCCTGCTCTCTCCCAACCCCTACTCACGACTGTGAATCTGAGTCAAGAGACGAACGAAGAGGGATGTTTAAACTCATTGTGGTGACACTGGCAGTATTTTTTTTTCTTTAACAAGTGCCAGATGGTTCTAATATTAACTCATCCAACCCTCATAACCACGCTACTAGGTAGGTACAGTTATCAGCAGCCCTATTTTACAGATGAGGAAACTGAGGGGCTAAGAAACTTGTCCAATGTCACAAGCTAGCAAGAGATGGGTCTAGGATTCGAGCCTGGGCCCATTGCATGCGACACCCAGGCTGTGGGTGGGGGTGGCACACCAGCAGGCAGTGTCCAGCAGGGGAAACCTGGGCTGTGACAGCCTGTCTGCTCCCCAGCTCTGAGCGGTCCGGAAGCCTTCCCATCAGACCCTTTCCCGCCGGAAAACCAGCCCCTTCTGATGTTCACGCACTCTGAAGAGCTCAGAGCAGCTGAGATCCCGCATGAAGGAAAAACTGGAAGACATAGAAAACAGGATTTAAGCCCTGGCTGGTGCAGCTCAGTGGACTGACTGCCGGCCTGGTCTGGGAACCGAAAGTCGCCAGTTTGATTCCCAGTCAGGGCACCTGCCT